CAATGTAGAACCATTGTCAAGCAACCAACGGGTGATAAAGTTAGAATAGGGTGTCGATCAAGTAAGAGGTGGCATACCTGGGCATTGAGGTAGGGGATCAGGGGAAGGTGTAGTATAAGGAGGTTCATCAGGGGAAGTGGGATCTGGGGAAGGGCATTGTAACAAAAGGGATTCATGTGAGCACCCAGGAGGGAGCGGAAGGGAGAATGGGGAAAGAAGTGGGGTTGGTGTAAGAGGAGGAAAGGATGAGGTGTGTTGAGAGGAAGTAGGGGGAATGTCAGCAGTCACTTTAAATGTAGACGGAATAGGAATCGAGAAATTGGAGGATCAATAAGAGAGACAAACATTCTCTTTGGTCATGGTTAATGGTTAAAAGCAAAATAAATGAGCTAAACATCTAAGGTCATACAGCACTATAGGAAGATATAGTAAAGGGGGATGTCAGGTGATAGTTGCTATGCGTCAACTATCTAGAGTAATGTTGGATGGTTGAAGTTGGGGAAGGGTTGATGAGCCAAAGGGTTATGGTGGTTTAGGTAAGAGAGTTAGATCAAGTGAAGGATATTAAGGTGTTTTATGATGGATAAGTATAGACGAGACATAAAAGGAGTGTGGGGAAGAGATAAAATGGTAATTGGGAATTGGAATAGGAGGATGTGTGAGGAAAGTCTCTTGGAGGCAGATAATAGATGGATTATAAGAAGCAAGGATATGACGTAGGTCTGATCTGTGAGAACGGAAGCTGCGAATATTCCAGTGTAGGAGAGTTATATCTTAGTTATTTTATGAGTAAAAACGGTACGTATTGGGGAATCGGGGGGGGGGGGCTAGGGGGTGTAAAGGAGGGGTATCAGGAGATAGGGAATCTGGGGAAAGGCACTGTTGTGACATGAGTGATTCCCGTGTGTATCCGGGAGGGAGTGGAAAGGATAGAGGGGATGGAGGGAGGGAGAATGTGCGTATAGTTGGGGTTGTGTTGGGAGGGAGTAGGAGGAAGTGGTGTGGGGGGAGTATTAGTGGTAGGAGGATGGATATCGGAAGAATGGATAGTTGGAGTTGAAGGGGATGTGTTTGCTTGGGAGGGATTAGAGGAAGAGGTGTAGGGGTGCTATGAGTAAGAGGGGGATGGATTTCAGGAGGATGGATATCGGTGGTGGACGGAATTGAGGGGGTTAGGTTGTGTTGAGAGGGAGTAGGAGGAAGGGGTGTAGGGGAATATGAGTAGGAGGGGAATGAATATCGGCAATCACTTCAAATGTGGAAGGAGCATGAGTTATGGGATCTTGTGTCTCAAGCATATAACTTTGAATGTCATCCATAGTTTCTGCAGTGGTGTTGGTTGGAGAGTTTTGTGGAACAAAGGTTTTCTTATGAGGGGGGTAAGAGGAGACTGGTGTCTCAAGAATAAAGGTAATTGTTTCTGCAGTGGAGTTGGTTGGAGAGTTTTGTGGGACAAAGGTTTTCTTATGAGGGGTTGGGGGAGAGGAGACTGGTGTCTCAGGAATAAAGGTAAAGGTAGGTGGAGGTGATTGTGCTGTAGGGGAAGAAGGGTTAGAACGTTTAGTCTGTCTACTGCGGGTAGTGCGGGGAGGGAGAGGGGTTCGTGTTGGGGCTGTAATTGAGATTGGAGCTGTGGTTGAGATTGGAGTGTCTGGGTTTAGAGTGGCAAAGGAATTGGTCTGAAGAATGTAGAATGTAGAAGTGGAAATGAGGGGAGGAGGGGGAGGGGCTGAGCGAACGATGTTACTAGAGTATGGAGTATGAAAAAAACCTTGTCAACGTGCTTCCTGTCTGGCTTCACGTAAAGTGAGACCATTTTTGTATTTGAGAGTTGCTACCTCAGATTCAAACTTGTAAGTGGGACAGCCTCTATAAAATACATTATGGGGGCCGCCGCAGTTAGCACATGTAAGTGTTTGTGCTGAGCAGTTTGGTCGGTTATGACCGGTCTGTGGAACGGCAGTGTTTGGCAGGATGTCCAAAGCGCCAACAGTTTTGACATTGACGGGGAGGGGGTTGGTATGGTCGAACAAGGAGGGATTGTCCACCAATGTAGATATGTAAGGGAAGGTCATGTGTACGGAAAGTAATTTTGGCAATGTTGGTCGGATTCTTTCGTTGACCTCTAGAAGGAATGGTGTTGCAATGTACTGATTTCACATCTTGGTCTTTGAGGCATCCTAATAAAGTCTTCACATTCTGACCAATCTTTGGTATCGACTGGGCAGTTTGCTGGGGAGAGAGAGACAGTTCCGATACAAGTATTAAGGGTTGGATGAGGTTCTGCAGGAATGGGGTGAATGATGGTGCTTTAGATTCAGTTTCTGATCTGACTGTTACAAGACGGGAGCGATCGCGTCTGGCATAGAAAGGGTCTCTGCCCACTTGTTTTGGAGACATTGTTGAAAGAGAAGTGTTGCCTGAGTAAGGAGCTGTAGAAGGAATCACGAAAAATCGGTCCCATTTAGCTGGGCTAAACAGCGTATTTAAGATATCTGTAGGGTTGGTGGTGGTGTATGGTCGGGGACGTGTGGAAGAGGGAGTATTACGGAGTGATGGAGAATAAGGGTGCGTGCACAGGGAAAGCAGGTTTGCCCGCGCCGGTTACCAGCGCCGACCCGCGCCATGAATTCAACCATATAAACAAGTGTAAGCGTGCACAAGGGAAGCAGGTTAGAGCGTATCGGCGCCGCCAGCCCGTTTCAACCCGCTTTCCTGTTTGTTCGGATCATTCTTGCCTGCTCAACCCGCGCGGGTGGACGCTATTGGATGGAGAACAGGATAGATGTTTAGCTCCTCATAGCCACAAAGATTATGAGAGACATCCAGTGTGGAACAGATGGAAGCACCATACCAACAGGAATGGGGCGGATAAACTGTGAGCTGAAATCAGGAAAATTCTGGAATGAAATAAAGCATTCGCCAAAGTCATTTCATAAACATAATAGTTTCTATTATGTCCCAAAGGATATTGATAAACGTGATACTTTTTTTTAATTAGCATTCTACTTTCCAGCATTTAGTTCCTTCAAATGGCTGTCACACTACAGTGAGTCGGAACTGGTAACCCCTGTCCTCTGTGAACACCTTTTCGCCCTGGTTTCCGGCGCCGACCTACTTTCTCTGTGCACGTACCCTAAGGCTGTAAAGGAGGATGGGGTGCTTGATGAAGGTTGTGGGGGTAGAGTTGATGAATTTGAGGAAGTTGGAAGGGTAGGAATGTCTTCTGGAGATTGAGTCTGCTTGGGTGGGTAATGCACAAGTAGGCATTGAGGAGTGGGTAGTAGTTTCAGTGTTAGGAGTCGTGGTCAAAGGAGAGTCTGGGGTGGGGCTATTTGATAAAGGGGCAAGCCTCATTGCCCCTAATAAGGGGATTACATATTCATTACTGGTCATGGGGAACCTTGATTGTATAAAGTGGTATAATCGGTCCACCTCCTTTCGCCTGAAGGTAAGGGCTAAACAATTAACTTGGGAGTACCCTGCCCATAGTTCCCACAGGCCGTTCAGGACTGGCACAAGGTCAGCCTTTCATCCTTTCAGCACGGCTCTTACACCTTAGGAAGTAGATAGCAGAAGGGGTTGGAGAAGGGACGGAAACAAAAAACTAGAGGGGGAAAAGACCATGCAAAATTAGTTGGGTCAAGGGCTGAGGACCTAGGCAGGGGAGATCCCTGCATTGGGTCTCAGTCTTCGTCTCCTAAGCCCCCCACGACAACAACGGGCAAGGGATTGGGGGGGCTCTTTGGTCATGCTTAGGAAGCTTTGGATGTCCTTAAGGGATTATGGAGAGGAGTTGGGTGGGGAGGGGGGAGAGGAGGGGAGGTATGGATAGCATTGGAGTAGGGAGTGATAGGAAAACCACGTCGGCATACTTCCTGTCTGGCCTCTCTAGTGATGCTAAATTTGTATCTGAGAAGGGCTACCTCAGACTGTAGTAGTAGTGGTTGGTGCTGTGACCAAAGAAGAGTCTGGGGTCAGTAAACCAGAGGAGTTAAATTTAGGGAGGCCAGTTGATAAAAGGGCAAGCCTCAGTGACCATAATAAGGGCATAAAATCTTCATTACTAGGCATGATAAGCCTGGAGTATGTTTGGGAGAAAAACAGTCCACCCCACAGGGTCTCCTTGAAGGGTAGTTACTGGACAATAAATCGGGAATACCATACCCGTTGCACCCCCAGGTCGTTCATGACTGGCACAAAGTTAGCCTTTCATCTTTTCAGCACAGTTCTCACACTTTAGGAATTGGACAGGGGAAGAAGTTGAGGAAAATGAAAGGGGGAAAAGAAAAGACCGTGCAAAATTAGTGGAGTCGATGGGCAAGGTCCTGGGTTGGGGAGATTGGCATTGGCCCTTTGTCTCTGTCCTCTTAGCCCGGCCCGCAAGACAATAAAGGGTAAAGTATTAGGTGATATCTACAGAAGAAAATATTAGCAATATTAATGTAGGACTTACGGCAGCATCTGGGGGAATAGTGTAACACTGTACTGATACAGTTCTGATACCAGTATTACAGGAGTGGGGTTAGGCAGGAATAGACTTATCAGTGAGGTCAACCATGGCAGATAGTGCATGGGCTTGAGATTCAGATGTAACTGTAACAAGGCATGATCGGGATGGCTGCAGAAGGAAACTTTAGCCGTCTTTTGTAGATACAAAAGTCCAACAGGTTTGGAGTTTGGCCAACTACATTTCACAGTATCCTCTATTATCAACAATGACATTGTTGTATGTATAATAGCATGTATGACTGCTCAAGAATTGTCCAGAGAGTCAGTCTGTCTTCTGTCTCTCTCTCTCCCCCAAAGATGTAATATTACATTTTGATTAAACTTTCTTCAAAATTCAGAAGATTTAATAGAAATGCATTGGCTATATCTAATTTTGTAAAGTAAGCCATTCACACAAGAATCCTTTTCCATGGAAAATAAATTGGGAAAAATTATATGCATCTGACAATTCCTTAAATTTTGTAGGATGAAGTTCATAAAAAAGCGTG